ATTAGCTGTCCATAGATGTGTGGGTTTATTTCTGGGCTCTCAATTCTGTTCCATTGATCTTGTGTCTGTTTTTGTGCCAGTACCATGCTGTTTTGGTTACTGTAGTTTTGTAGTATATTTTGAAATCAGGGATGTGATACCTTCAGCTTTGTTCTTTTTTCTCAGGATTTATTTGGTTCTTTGGGGTCTTTTGTTGTTCTCATTCTAATCCATGGTCATTCTTTTACTTTTGCTAGTAGCCCATCATCTGATCATAATTGGTCATTTTTCATACATCTTTGCTTGATAATGTCTTTCCCATTGATCTCAGTGTCTCAGTCCATTCTGTGTTTAGCTAGAGAGACATGCCTCACTGCCTGTGAGGACACAGTTGTCCAGCAACAAGGAATGTCTAACAGTCAGCAATCAGCAAATTAGTATTGATTGTCCTGTTCTTCACCAGTGATTTCTTTAGCTGATGGTAAGTGGATAATTGGAGGTTATCAGCACACTTATCCATGGGTTGTTTTCATCTCCTGAGTCTTTCCCAAGCCTGCCTCCTGGGAGAATAACAGGAATTTCTTAGGCTCTACAAAGTGATGGCCAATAATTGACATGAATTGACATTGGTTTTTGGGTTTTTTTGGTGGTAGGGGGGTAGGAGGGAGCCTTCAGGAGCAAAAGTAGGATGACAATATGGAGCACCAAAGTCATAACTTTGAGGTTACTTTCTTTTACATGAGTTTAATTCCTTAAGTTTGGGACACATTAATTAATGAATTTCTGTTAAGCAGAGGATACCTCTAAAACACTGTTACTGTGTGCAGCTTATTGAAACTGCTTAATGTGTGTGCTTTGAATGGTGTACTTTACAGATCTAATTGTGGTCCATGGTGTTTAATCTATTTTAGAAACTGGATGGCTTCTACAGGGAGCCAGGCCTCCGATATAGACAAGATTTTTGGATTCTTCAATGATGGCGCACCCCCCACCAAAAAGCCCAGGTAAACAAGGGAAAGGAATCTGAGTAACATAGTAGATTACGGTTAATGGTAGATAATGAAAAATAATGAACTTGCCCTGTGTCCTGGTAGTTTTCACTAATTAATGTTGACCTTCATATAAAAGTAAATTATTTTTATTTTGGATTTAATTTTTATTTTTTGTGAAAGTCATAAATGTACATAATTTTCAAAGTCAGTACTTCAAGACTCATAATGCCTTGGGGTGTCTCCTCAGAGACAATCACTTTCAACTTTTTTATTTGTTTTTTCTACTGTTTACATCCATATTTTTAAATACCATATGTATACTGCTATTTTTTAGTTTTGGGTTTTATCTATTTCCAGGTATTAAAGATATGGATTAGGCTTGTTCTCATGGATCCTCTTCCCGTATTGCCCCCCCCACACACATCATATACTCTTCCTACAACCCCCAGTGTGTTTTATATTACAATTTTTGGTTAAATCGTTTTTTAATATTCATATTATATGACTGTATAAGTAGTGTTCATAGCTGAGCCTCATGATTACATTTCTTGTCCATTTTTTTCTCCAAGTTATTAAAGATTGTCTTATTTTTTTTTTGTTTGCCTTGTTATCTGTGTACCTAATTTATCCTCGAACTCTGTGACAGAAGAGTAAATCTCCTAGAATGCTGACACACAGCAGTTCTTTACTAGTTTAATTTGTTTCCTGGATTCTTCCCCCGGACTGTACTCCACTCCCGACGGTGGTTCTCTAGGCCCGCTGCTGCGTTGCTGATATTTGCCGTTTTACCATTTCCCATCCCCGTGAGGATTCCTTGTACATCTCTCCTTGTACATCAATCCCCTGTTTCCTGGATCACATGTCTTCCTTTTTGTTTTGCTGAAAAATATCCTCAGTAGCTTCATTCTGCTGAAAAATATCCTTAGTAGCTTCCTTAGTAAGGATCCACAGGAGAAGAATTTTTGGAGACATTTGAAAACGTCTTTATTATACTCTTACATTTATTTGATGATTGGGCTAAGTGTACAATTTTAGTTAGGAAACCATTTTCCTTTGAGTTATGAAGTCATTGCTTAGTCTCTGCTAACATCTAAATGTTCCTGCCAAAACAGCCACTCTATTCTGATCCCTAGTCCTTTGTATTATATGACCTCTTCTTCTTTTCTCATTAGAAGCTTGTAAGGATGGTTATTTTATTCTCAGTAACCTGAAATTTTACGATGGTATATCTTCCTGTGGGTCTGAATATTGGGTGACTCTTTCAAGGTGGCTACTCATAGTTTCACTTGGGAGAAATTTTCCTGTGTTACTTATTTGATAATTTCCTTTACAGTTTTTTCTGTATTCTTTCATTATAGAACTCTTGGTATTCAGATGTTGGATCTTTTGGATTAAGTCTCTAATTTTCTTATATTTTTCTATCACTTTTATTTTTGTCATTCTACTTTCTCAGAGATTTTCTCAGTTAATCTTCCAACCTTATGAATTTTTTATTTCTGTTATATTTTTAATTTCCAAGAACTCTTTTTGTTTGCCCATCCCTTTCTTATAGCATTCTGTTCATGTTTCATAGATGCCATTTTTAAAAATCTATGTGAGGATGTCATTGTTTTCTTTTCAATTTTTCTTCTCTTGCCTGTATTGTCTCATTTCCTCCAAGTTCCTTTCTATTTGCTAGTTTGTTTTGGTGTAACTCTCATGGTGGGGGCTTTGTTCAAATGTAAGGTGACCCTTGTTTGTCTGTTCATATTTAAGAGAAAACACTAAAAAGCCAATTGGAGGGCCGGCCCCGTGGCTTAGCGGTTAGGTGCGCGCGCTCTGCCACTGGCGGCCCGGTTTTGGATCCCGGGTGCGCACCGACGCATCGCTTCACCGGCCATGCTGAGGCCGCATCCCACATACTGCAACTAGAAGGATGTGCAACTATGACATACAACTATCTACTGGGGCTTTGGGGAAGAAAAAAAGGAGGAGGATTGGCAATAGATGTTAGCTCAGAGCCAGTCTTCCTCAGCAAAAAAAGAGGAGGATTAGCACGGATGTTAGCTCGGGGCTGATCTTCCTCACAAAAAAAAAAGCCAATTAGAGACTGGGCATCAGGGGTTTGGTGGCGGATGGGCTTCACTCTGGGTATCCAGCATGGGCCAGGTCCTACAGTTGACAAACTCCCACCCGTTGGAATCTGTAGGTCTTTTCTCTCACGCTGGCCATTTTCCCCAAAGAGAAATCCTCCCATATCCTGACTGGTTGGGGGATGGGGTACAGGTATATGGTTGACTGCCAGTGTCTGGGAGTCTTCCTGTGGGAGAAGGGGGCAGGGGAGAATCTTATATTTCATATACAGATTTTTACTTAATCCCCCTCCCCGAGCTGTGCACAGTGTTGTCAAATACAGAATCCTTTGGTTCAACTTCTCTGGAAGGCAAGCCTCCAGGCTTAGAGTTCTAACTGCTGCTAACACAGCCTGGCAATGACTTCTCTGATTTTGGTCCCCCTGCACCTTACCTTCAGATGTACCTGAATGTTCCCAGGATTCCACAGAGGGAATCAGTTATTACTTTACAACTTCTAAAATTTTGTTGTCTGCTATCATCTTTTCCTTTTCTACTCTTTATGAATTTGTGTCTTCTAAAAAAATTACTTTGCTATTGTTTAGTGGTTTTAGGAAGAACCAGAAATGAAATACAGTTTCTTTTTAACTGGAAGTCTTAAATTAGGGAAAATTATACCTCAGATCTATAATGATGAGGTAAAAAATTCAAATAGTACAGCATAATCAAATGAAAAGTAAAAATCCTTATTTTCCCCAATCCCTAGAGTTAGCCACTATTTACAGTTCTTGTGACTCCTTCTAGAAATTTCCTGTGAGTATATATTTGTGTATGCTTCACTGTCTTGATTCCCTGGAACTGAAACTCATTTTTCATCATTTGCTTCTAATGTCTATTATCAGTCTTTTCCAGCAGACTAAACTTTTGTGACCAGGGACTCTGTTTTGTCCATAGATACATCACTAGTGCCTACCATAGTGTCTGGTACTTCATAGGTTTTTGTATTTGTTGAATGACTGCATGCAGGAGTTGGAGATAGGGAAGGCAGTTGTAGAGGCTGTTTCCCCAAAACCAGGTTTCCCAAGGCTAAAAGTACTGTTCCTTTCTTGCATTAGGTATGCCAAAATGCAGATCCTTTTTCTTTTCATTTTATTATTTGGAAAAAGTTTGAGAAAAGCCATTTCTTGGAAAAAACATGCCATCAGCAAAAATTCAAGTGAATAAATATATTTCAAACAGATTTTAATATAGTTTCTGGAATGAAGTGGGATAGAGAACCAAAACGCAGAACCTTGTACCCATGCTGTCTCACATAGCTGCGTCAGGATGGAACTCTCTGCTTATCGTGGGAAGAGAGGAGTGTTTCTCACTTTTTGTCGTATCTGTTGAATAGTTATTTCTTTGTTTATTTAGATGTGTGAGGCTCCTGTGTTTTCAGAATTCTGTTGGCCACTTTTTTTTTTTTTGGCTTGAGGATATCTAGAACAAAACTGAAGGCAAATTTGTTCCCATATTTGACTATCTCATGCTCCATTTTAGTCATGCTCAAATTTTATCTTAATAATGTTCATGAAATTTGGGCTTAAATTTTTTATTGGCTTTCTTTCATCTCCTGTTCTACATTTCTGAACAATACGAATTTAATTTATATGGGTTTCTTTTCTCTCTGGGATCCAAATCAAGCATGTTTTTTGAAAATATAATTTAGTTAGCAGAACTCAGCTGAGCTGTAATATAATTGGACCTTTTCCTAATATTGGTGGGTCTCCTTAGTCTGAGAGGACGATGAAGGAAAAAACTGATTTTAAGCTTGCTTTTTAGGATTCCTGAAGTAGGTTTATTATTTTGTTTTTCAGCAAGCACTGGCACGATATTCTGGTCTTTTTGCTTAAGCCGCTTTGGAGAGGTGTCAGGAACTGGTACTTGTCATCTTTGCAACTATAAAAGTTATAGCTGGAAACCGTGACAGCCTTTCCATGTGCCTCGTATCTGTTGGATGTTCCTAATCCTCTCGTTTGTTTGACTTTTTCAGGAAGCTGCTTCCAAGCTTAAAAGCTAAGAAGCCTCGGGAGCTTGTGCTGGTGATTGGAACAGGCATTAGCGCTGCGGTTGCACCTCAGGTTCCAGCCCTGAAGTCTTGGAAGGGGTTAATTCAGGCCTTACTGGATGCTGCCATTGATTTTGATCTTCTGGAAGACGAGGAGAGCAAAAAATTTCAGAAATGTCTCCATGAAGACAAGAACCTTATCCATGTTGCCCACGACCTTATCCAGAAACTGTCTCCTGTGAGTACCCTCCCGTGTGCCCTGGCATTTGACATTTCCTGAAACCATGGTGAATCCTGAATGTAATAAGGATATTCACTTCTAGCTTGTAGATTTGCATAACATTTGTCTCTTCTGCAAAATGTCTGTTTTTGGATGCTATTCAGGGTAGATATCTTGACCTCATTTCAGTGTGTGTGTGTGTGTGTGTGAGATGATGATAATGTTGAGGCCTTTGTTTGTACAAAAATGAGACCACTGTCTCATTATTGCTGTGTTTTGAATTTACTTTTTCTACACTCACCGCTATAAAAGCTGTGTTCTCTGGTATCTATGCCTTTTAGGGAACCTCAGAAAGATTAGAGATAATTCTTAATCATTTTATGGATGAAGCAACACCAGTTTTTAATGTTCATTTTAAGGGTGATCACTCAAAATATTTATAAGGAATTTGGTCTTGTTTTATCAAACTGAGTTGGATACCAATTCCTGAATGGTTAAAGGGCCTCCTTGTCTTGCTTTGTCTTAGAAATCAGGATTCACTTAAGATATATTTGAAAATAATAGAGTAGCCAAAGCTTGTTCTAAATCTTAGTAAGTCAAGTGCACCTTTAAAAAAAAATAACTCTTACTCCTTAAAAAGTCAATTAGTAATGTTGATATTTTCCCCCCAGGCCCTAGGGCCTATAGGAGAGAAGTGTCATTAAGAGTTAGTCTAGGGACGGCCCTGTGGCTTAGTGGTTAAGTGCGCACGCTCCGCTACTGGCGGCCCGGGTTCGGATCCCGGGCGCACACTGATGCACCGCTTCTTCCGCCATGCTGAGGCCATGACCCACATACAGCAACTAGAAGGAAGTGCAACTATGACATACAACTATCTACTGGGACTTTGGGGAAAAAAAAAGGAGGAGGATTGGCAATAGATGTTAGCTCAGAGCCGGTCTTCCTCAGCAAAAAGAGGAGGATTAGCACGGATGTTAGCT